ATTGTTGAAATTACTTGATCTATGACTCAATTCCAAAATGCTAATGTTAGTATCACTATATGCAAAAAGTTCTTCCTGCACTTTTTTTATTACCTAAAAATATATATCATTATCAATGGATTGGATCGATAAATTTTAAAATACGACAGTATTAATCAAGTTATAAGTATATAATAGAGCAAGTATATAATATTCAAACTTTTTAAACAAATCTTACCGTAATTTGAAACGAAAATATAAAACAATGAATTGAATTCTCAATTAAAAAAAAACATTTTATTTATTATAAAAGAATATATTTAATTACTTCGGCCTTTACTTTTAATTATTGTCAAGTGGCATACGAGACGATCGAATGAACGAGTTTGACCCCTAGCCAGTAAACTGGCTAATCCTAAGTTTTCATTCTGTGAATTTACTATTCCTTTAATATATTTTAAATTTTATATGTTTTAATATTTATTTTAATATTCTGTTTTATATCATTATTTTATTTCTATATTTTAAATATATTTTTATAATCAATTAAAAGTTTTCAACATCATATTATTTTTATAAAACTTTGTGGACAAAATAAATGTTTCGCGATACCTCATGCGGAAGCTTGGCCGGTCCGGCTCCAAAATTAATCACAGGGCTGTTGCTTTGCTTGCTCATTGTGAATCGTACTGGACGTCTGGTACGGGAAGACTGAGCTAATGTAGGGGAACCGATTTCCGATTCAACGAATCACGTTATCTCTGTGTGAATGTCTTGGACTAGATTTATCTCGTACGGTTACTACTCTCTCGTTTACTGATGCTTTGTATATACATATGCTACAATGTGTTCACTAAAAAACTTCAATTTCCAAACGGTTTATTTAATCATGGACTATTCTAAGGAAAATCTACTACCGTTCACCGTCTGCTTGACTTTCTCTCTGGAACTTTATTTTATTTACAATCTCTTTATGTAACCGGCTCGCTATGTAGCATATATCTGAACAAGGATAGAAGTTAATCACTCTAGCTTATGATGAATACCAATCACTGACCGCTTGGGATGTTGTTTCATTCTATTTTGCTTGATATATCTATATACGATACTTGTTGAACAGGTTTTGATCGACCAGAATTGCCGATTGGTCGTCCAACGAGATGTTTGCAGAAGTTCTTTCTGTCACGAAGCCGCGAAAATTGAAATCTTTGTTTAGATTAATATTAATTTTTCATTTTTTAATACTTTTATTTGTTACAATTTAAAATTTTACCAAAATTATAATATACGTGAAAGTTTTTGTGAAATAAATAAAATATAACGATTTCCCTTATGCCAACACCACGTGGGATTTGATAATTATAAAAATTCATGATTAAATATAAAATGTAATTGTTTATAATTCTAGTAATCAAAATTCTTTAATTGTTTTCTACTTAAACACATGTTCCTCCTTTTAATATTATCTTAGAGAAAAAAAGATTCAGTTCATTTTTCTACTAAAAAGAATAAAAATTTGCGTATTCTAGATTTGACATACAAATGGTAATATTGTTTGTTATATAATTATAATAAACTGCAATGCGCTGATAAGTACCTCCTGCAATGTCTTATCTTATAATTATGAAAACAGACTGCTTGGGTAACTCATAACACGTGATACATCTACCGGATTAATCCAGATGTTGTAACTATTAATCTAAATCATATAATGAAATTTTCTTTATCTCTGTACAATTACTAAATATGCTTTTAGTTATGACAGATATTTAATGTAGATATTCCTTTGTAATATAAAGTGCAAAAGATTACAAGTTCGATTAAAATAATATATAATAAAAAAGTAAGTAAAGTATACTTTATATTACTCCGAATGGCGAAATTAATCTATAAATTACTCCAATTAGTGAAATTGATCCATAATATAATATTTTACCTATTAAATTAATGATATTTAAATGTTATCATTTGTTTATCATTTCAAATGAAAATATATCTTGCAATATGTATGTATTTACGTATAAATTACATTGTAGTTTGATTTACTTTATATAATAAAATATTTTAATTCAATATAATACAGTATTTTGTATAAATTAATTAGGAATACACTTATATGATCTTCATAATTTATTACTATTTCCAATGATATGTACAGAATTTTATTTACGTCAGAGGTATTTAATTTACTCCCCTCACGCTAGTAACTATGTAGAAAACAGCATTCCCCCACTACTTCTAATAAAGGAGCTGTGAGACTGTATGTAGGTGCGTGAGTAGTTCTGTGTATGTTCAACACAGGTAAAAGTAGGTAGGGGAAGGGTAATTTTTCGTGAGGGGAATGTCACGATGGTGTCCGCAAGCATTCAGTTAAACACCTTGGCTTTATATTGAATGTTAAACCTTAAATAAAATATTGCACTGATAAATATTAAGAATTATGGAAATACCACCACTATAGTGTTAAATAATCAATAATTATTATTACATTCTGATTGCTTTTGTATTTTCTACATTCAGATATGTAATGCATTCATAAACAAAATCTTTACCGGTATTCATATTTTAAAATCCGGTAAAACATGGATTCATTTAGAACATTTATAGATATTTTTGATAGAGCTATGAAAGAAAGAAACGGCAATAACCTTATAGAAATTTTAAGGAATGGTAGAACGTATTTTCAAAATATATCGAAAGATGACAGCGGTACGTACAATTTATAATACTGTTTCACTAGTATTCGGCTTTCTGACATTTCACTTATTGCGTCGTAGTTTACAATAAATTCACAACGAAAATATATTGTCTCTAATTTTGGATGTTTTATTATTATCTCTTTAGAATTAATGTTATCCACATTACTGAATAAGGAGAAAGGTCTACTGTATTTCCTGAACAATGAATTTGAAAAACCTTCAAAGTGTGAGAGATGTTTTGAAACAGCAGTTAAGGAAGCATTTAATTTTCTTGAATTTACTATGGAACAATTTTCTGAGATATTTATCCCATACATTATTGATGCTAAGGTATATTACATTTCTTATAGTAAATGATATAAGAAAAATATATTATATCTTTAGTTGATTGCAGAATACATGCCAAAAGGCGCTTGTAACGAGATGTCCCATGCTTATTCAAAGAGCAGCATGTAATGCTTTTAATAAATTAATTGAATTATTTAAGGATTATGAAATTGAATTAGGGGAAACTATAAAAACATTTATACCTTTGCTTACCAAAATAGATATAAAAGGTAAAAAGTTTATTATTATACAAATTTATGTTATAAAAATAATTCAGTATAATAATTCTTTGTAATTGTTTTAGAGAGAAGTATATTGTTCTGTGTCATTGGTACCATTACAAAGCACAATCCTGAAATTCTAGAGATACAAGATTCATCTATGATCTTTGATCAGCTAAGAAATGACTTCATAAAGCAGGTATATTATATTTGTTAATAATTTTAAAGCATAAATTCTTATTTTTTATTTTATGTTTATAGTATAATCCACAAACCGTATCTCCAACTGATACATTTCAAATATATTTGGATGTCTTTTCTAATCTATTGAGAGAACTTCCAGATGATTTGAAACAAAAATACTGCAAAGAATTATATGACTGGATTAAAGTACTAAGTCGTCCAGACAGGTATCAGGTTAAGAAAGTTTCAATGAGATCTGCAATCAATTTGTTGTCACATCATATTTACTTGTTTCGTGAATTTGTTTATTCTGACTATGAATATTGGCATGATTTATTAAAAAATCTTGCTCAAGATAAAAATACTCAATGCAGCGAATGCGGACAATATGCTTTAAAAAGTTTTTATCGAATGATTGGAAACACATTGAAACACAAAGCTTCTGAAAAAGACAAGACTGCATTTTTGGTAAACTTTACATTTAATACTATACTTAAATATAATCATTTTGGTAATCATAGCTTTTGTATTTTAGTATTTTAAAAATCTTTTCGAAAAACAATTAAAAAATAATCAGCAAATAAATACAAATATGTCACGTTTTATAGTATATGGTTTTAGTCATATGGCAGCTCCATGTAAAAGGTATCTCACAGATAATGATGTAAAAGAAATGTTTTCATTGATTGCTCAATGTGCTGTGCCACTGTATTCCAGGTATAAGCTCCATAATATATATTTGTTTTTTTGATAATACTGCACAATTTTGACTGGAAAATCGATTTTCATAAAATTGATAGATATAGTAGAAATACACATTTTAAACAATATTTTCTTCTGACAGAAATCTTTTCAGTTTCCGAAATAATCGCGGCGAAATTTCACTACTTATTTCGCTATTACTTAAAAAGATTATTTTTCCGGTCAGGATTCTGTAATATTACCATATTTCTATATTATTGGAAATATATATTTCAATTAATTTTGATATACCATGTTAATGTTTATAGAGAAGATTTAGGACAATTAAACTTGGAAAGTATTTGTGATTATCTAGAAGCCCTGTCTGAAATAATATTACACACAGTAGACCTATCAATTGATCAAATTAATACCATTCTGAAGCTCAGTATTATATTAATTAAAAGGTTTCCTGATCTTCCTATAACTAATCAAGCTCATGTAATTTCTTCATTGATAACTACAATCATCAATGTCGGAATAGTTGATAAAATTTTATTGGAGGAATTTCTGTATAACTTAAGTAAGTATATATTGCATAATGTATGCGTTTTTTATACAAATACAATATCATTTTTGTTTTAATTAGTTCGTAATGGAATAATATGGACTTGTTCGCATACCTTGTTTGTCGATGCGGAATTACAACGAGGATTAAGAAATCTTGAAGAGCGTCCAATATGTTACAAAAACTATTTACCTTTGTGGTTACAACTTTTGAAACCAGAAAAATACAAAAGACATAAAGATATTATACAAGAAATGGTTGATGCAACAATACATGCATGCATTGAATTAATTAGTAAATTAAATCTGAATACAAAGATGAAGGATGATAACATATTTTCAAATGCAGTTTTTTCTCAAATTGCTGAAAATGCATCAGATTTTAGAATGTTTGTTAATATTGTTGATTTATATGTTGATATAATTAATAAATTAGAATCTTTTTTGTTGATGAGCATTATACACAAATTCTTATTGAAATTCATCAATATGTCTTATAAATATCCTCTCGTATCTGGATTTTATAAATTAGTGTATGCAACTTACAAACATATTTCCAATTTAACCAAAGATAAAATTGAAATAGAAACATTTGAATTATTATATAAATATATAATGAACATAGTGACTTTAATTTCCACATTTACTGGTGAATTGTTAACTATATGTTTATCTTTAATTCTAAATGCACCAGAGATTTATATAGAACATATACTGACCAGTGCCATTCCAGCATTTAAGATTGCTTTAACTGTGGGTTTGAGCGATTTTGAAATTGCTTGTACTGCATTAAATGCCTTAGAGAAGTGGACAAGCCATTTGACCAATGAACAATCGAGTAAATTTTTACTGGAAATAGTGCCATTTTTGGAACCATATTTAAACAGTGAAGAAAGCTGCATGGAAATATTACAAGACATAATAAAAACAGAAAGAAAATTTATCAAACGCATTATACAGAAAGAGGATGAGAACACTTTAGAAAGACTTCAAATGAGGGTTCTGTTATTCATTGCCTCACTTGACACAGATATAATAATGAATTTTGTCTACAAGAAATCCATGGATATAGGAGCTACTTGGGATAAAAAGGATTTACTGAAGTATTCACTGGCTTTATCGGATACAGAAGTGAATATCAATTTTGATAAAATTTTACCAAGATTGACTCAATTGGCTCAAAACTCTGGAGATAGACGAACAAAAATAATTGCCTGCGAAGCACTTCATTCTATGATAATATTTATTCTAGGCAAAACATCACATTTAAATCAAGATAAATTTGCTCCTTTATATAAAGTAATATATCCAAGTATACTTAATTTAGGTTGTGATTTTGATGAAGCAGCAAGAAAAATTTTTCAACTTCTGACGCTACAGTTAACGCATTGGTTAAGTTCAAAGTTTATGATTAAATCTCTAGCAACTACATACTTTATAGATTCAGTGTTCGAAGCTTTGAACAATGATTCCAATTCTTCATTGAGAGAATTTTCTGGCCTGTGCTTGGTTGAGTTTACGAAATGGTCTATAAAACAGTCTGTTACTGAGGGATCTCAATCAAACATTAATGAAGTTATATGTAAAATAACGAATTTCGCGCTTCATCCTTCTATGTCTAAACGAATTGCAGCTGCAACAGCATTTAATCATCTGTATGTTATTTTACGTGAAGATACAAAAATTGTTTCTATACACTGGTTAGAAATTTTGTATTGCTTTATAAAGAGTTTAGATGGTTGTAACGATCCCTCTATTATAATTGCACTTAATCACGTTGAGAGAGTTATAATTGCAAAAAAATATTTATTGAATGCAAAACACAATGAACGTAGGAAACCAATTGAATTTGAAAGTTTCACTTTAACGGATGCAGTATACTGGTTATTAACTCAGTGTGGTTGCTTAAACCATTCTTGTAGGGCAAAATGCATGGAATTGGTGATTAAACTTTCTGAACACATAACAAATTGCGATTCAGCAGAAACAATGATAAATAATTATATTAATATTTATGGAAATAATACATTTAATGCAATAATATTTAAAGACCTAGAATCAAAGGTAGAAAGCCTTTCTTATAATACTATTTTGCCTCTCTTGAGAAGTTTGGACTGTTACATTTGGCTGATACGAAACAATTTATTGAAGATAGAATACTTATTTGGAGAGTCAAATACTGAAAGGGAAGTAATCTTCAACTGTGCAAAGAATTTCATTCACTTAATTAATAAGATCAAAATGGAAACAAATGATGATGGTGATGTAGTGCGATCGAAAGAGTTCGAAGAACTGCAAACATTACAGTGTAAATTAATAATCACTATATTTGATTTCTTTCAAATTCTTCTTAATTTGAATGTAAGTAAATTATTTTTTTAAATTATTGCATTATATTTCAATACATTTTTCATTCTTTGATTTCAGGAAAATTATGTACCAGATTTCTTTTTGAGTAAAGATCTGTTTGAGTTAATTTCTAAATGTATAATGTGCCCTCAAGTTATTGGGTTTGACGTAATAAATTTTGCAAATACTGAAGCACTTCTACTAGTTCTGGATAGTTTGATAACAAGAATAATACAGAAGGATGATGATACTGTATTGAAATGCATACAACGTGAATTGTTTATATATGTTGAAAAACATATAAATACTTTTATCGATTTGGATAAAATTGTCTTTAGTACAGATAGTTGCAGTGAATTTAAACAATACGTTCGTGGTTTAAGTTTTTTGAAGAAACATAATTTACTTAATAAGGAGTACAATGTAATGTCTACTAGTAATATTATTTTATTATGGCACATTAGCAAATTCTCAGATAATTATTGGTTTTTCTTTAGGGAGTATATTCACTTGAACAATCAAACGATAAAATTATGTGCATCTTCAAAAGCATTGCACAGAAACGAATGGGTGAATTTGTCTGCGTAAATATCACAACACCAGTAATAAATTATTTAAAGACTCTGGTAGAATTGTTCCTTATGCATTATGAGGTATGTTATTTCTAAGTATTATGCACTGATTATGTGCATTATGAATGTAATATAAAATTATTTACTTGCAGTCATCAATTACAAGAACATTGATTACATTAATTGAAAATGATACAATACTTATATCAAACTTCGAAAAAATTGAACATGGTAAATATTTTTTACGCATGTTTAAGAATGAAATATTTATTTACATGTTAAAGGATCTAGAGAAGACTGTCGAAATACTCGAAATTTTATTGCAAACAAATCCATCTCTTCTGTTAACGATAACTGAGCAATTATTCTTGTTTGTCCAACGACATAAAAATGAAATACATGAAAATAGAGAATTCTTAGTAGATGTTATGATTAAAAGATTTACAATGTTCAAACAAGCTGTCAATAATTTAGAAGATAGAAAAGAAAAACTGATTAACATTTACAGCATTGCTGTGCATTTGAAGCAGAACCCAATTGAAGTACAGTCTCTGAGTACAGACTTTTATATGTGGATTCTTAATCAATTAACAGAAAATAATGACATAAATTACAAGATTAAGATTCTTCAGAATTTTCTCGTATGTTTGACTGACATTACATGTAATACAAAACCGGAATTGCTTGTCATTTTACGTTCTCTACGAAACGATAGACTAGCTATCTGCCCAAATGATTTTTCACAAAAGAATGTGGAAGCCTTAAAAATCATTCATTGTTACCAAACGTTATTAACGTTACTACCAATAACAAAATCAGTTACATTATTCGAGTCTATAATTTTATTTGCAGCTGGTATCGCTGAACAATTGTGTGATGAGAAAACAAACAAATATCTAGGGAAATATTTTAGTTGTATTAGCTCTGACAATGCTTTAGAGTCTATAGAAGTAGCGTACAAATTATTCATGAATTTAAATACATCGATAAATGAGAGATTCGATGTACTACGAAAATTTCTTTTACCATTATTTCAGTTATGCAAAACTCTCGAAATACGTATGTTTTTTGAAAGAAATATCAATGAAATATATGCGATTATTCAGCAAGCAATTATTGGGAATCGTTCAGATATGCAACAACTTATAGTATCGAAGATAGGTTGTTATGATCTTGTTGCAATCATGTTTGCAAAGATAGATATTAGTCTAATAGATAATCCTGAAAGTGTTATTACACGAAATGCCATCAGTGAAGTAGTAACTGGAAAAGAACTGTTAAAAAATTTATATAATTGTGTATTACATGTACGTATGTTAAAAACACCTGAACCAGAACAGAAAGAGCTAATGAGACTTTTGCACTGTTCTGCATACAATTGTTCTATAGCAATTGTATCTTTAAAGACGGATGAAGACTCTTACATGAGCGTCTTTGCTGAAAACCGAAAGAAGGAACAGTTGATTTGGGAGAATATTGTAGATTGTCAGAGACAGTACAATCTTCAACAGACTTTTGACAAATATCCAAAAAATCTTAAGAAATTGGTTAATATAAGAAATAACATAAAAAAACAAGGAAACTCTGTACATTACTCTTATATTTACAGTTATAATTTATCTAATTGCACCTTAAATGAAGATATAAATGCTTACGATTTCAATGAAGCTATTGTATGGGATAATGGTAGCAATACAGATTCTAAAGAAGAGGGCATGAGTTTATTGTTTGAGAATGATGAATTAAACAATCATGAATGTATGGCCTCTATTTGTGGCGTGTTAAGGCACATGGTATCTGAAAAAATATGTACACCATCTGATAATAATGATATTATCGTACCAAAATGGTTAAAATGTTTTTGTAGTTCAACAGGTTGCAATAATGTAAAACTTTTCATGCTGAAAGTTATTTTAAACACACAAAGTGTGTTTAAACCATATGCAAAATTTTGTCTTCGGTCTATAATATATGCCACATATGTGTATTTAAGACAAAATGCGTTAAATTATGTTATTATTGATGTTATAGAAATGCTAATAGATTGGCGAACTGTAGCTCTACCTGATGCAAATGATGAAAAGGCTGTAGCACAAAAGTTATGGGAAGTAATCATTGAAAAAGCTGTGGTAAAAAAGACAGATGAGATTCCTAAAAGTGTTTATAAGTATAATATGAATATGATAAAAACACTTTTTGAAGTGTGGCATACTTGCTTAGAATTACCTCAAAATTTAGATAATAAGATGAAAACAGCACCTGGAGCTACAGTATATTTGATATTAATTTATTTGGTAAATGGAATGGTAAATGAAGTTGTTGAAAGGAATAATATTTTAGAGTTTCTGGAAAAATCTTTAGAAAATTGGAAAGATGATGAGGAAACAGTTTTACAATGCTGTGAATGTTATGGCCTGATTTTAAAGTATTTGGATGAATGTGACAATCATTCCAATAGAAAAGGAACCATAATTGGAAAAATTGACAGTGTATTAGGACAGATGCAAATGACATTCGAGTCGAGACAAATAAAATGTATTTGTGCACTGTGCAAAAGTTATCCAGATGCTGGTATGATTTATTTTGAGTTTGTTATTGCAAATATATTTAAGGTAGATAGAATGGCACAATCGCATTGTTTAGAAATATTTTTAGTATCTATACCAAAGCTTAGTGACAATCCAGATAAAATAATAAAAGAATTAGATTACATAAAGTTTCTTGATTTATTAAGGAACAAAGTTTTACCTTGCGAAAAGATAGCACTACAGATAATTAATTCCTTGATTCCTATTGTTTCTGCATCATATTTATCGTCTCTAATTAATCTGGTACTTCCATATACAAAACATGATTTTTCTGAATACAGAGAATGTGCATATAATATATTTATGAATATTTATAAGCGCTACATTGAAGATATATCTGACAATGAAGAGATAAAAGAATTAATGCATATTAGTAAAGAAGTATTATGTAATAGTGTATTAGACCCTGTTGAACAATTACAAGAGAAGGTATTAAGTTTTTGGACTCAGGATGCACACTTAAAGAATTCTTGCAAAGAAAGATTAATGGAAACTTTAAATGTATATACAACTGGTGTTGGAAACAATTTTCTGCCGTTTGTGCTTCTGATGATTCTGGACCTTACTAAAAAATCAAAAAATTATATGCAGAAAATATTTGAAGAACCCTTGTATGAATGTAATTATACAGATTATGAAATAACACCTTCATGGAGAATTAAAAATTTGGAATCGAAAGCTCCGCTTTTTGTTCCATCTCTGGCTAATCAAATGAGTCAAACCTTCACTGAAATGGGTGCTACTTTTGAAAATTTTGTCGATTTCACAGATGTAAGATCTATTGGTTCAAATACTAAGTTTAACCTGCAAGCCACTCAAGATCCTGAATTTGAACCAACTTATATTAATGAAGAAATGGTTATGTCAAATGACTACAATTATGGTAACGCATCTAATATGTCAACGATACCACAACCTGCTCATAATAAAAAGTCAAAAAGATTCATAAAAAATTCTACTGAAATTTCGAAAGTCGTACGACAGAAGGAAATTAAGAAGAATATTCAGTATGCTGAAATGATAAAAGAAGAAACTGCTCGTCAAAGAAGCAGTGTGAAATTATATAGAAAATATAGAATAGGTGATTTTCCAGACATTGGAATATATCACTCTACACTGCTTGAACCATTGCAACACTTAGCAAAGAAAGATGTACAGATTTGTAAGAATTTAACAGTTTCTATTGTTTGCTCGTTATTAAAAGAGCATGGACAAGACGAATTTGTAAAGAATGTTGCAAATAGTTTAAAATTTATTACAGAAAAGGAACAGGGAAATAATTCTATAATAGCTGCGAATTTAGAAATATTGCTGGCTACTCGCATAATAAATTGCTCACCAGTGGTTATTGCAAAAATATCTAGATTAAATAGTTTGAACTTCCTTGGATCTCTTGTTATAGAAGAAAATTTAATTTATAATATAAATGACACTGAACCACGTGAAAAGAAGGCAAAAAATAATGCACAGGGCATAAATGATACACAGTCTACTAATGAAGAATCCAATGAGTGGTTGCAATTGGCAAATCTTTATGAGTCCATGAATGATGTTGATATAGTTCTCAGCATTTTCCAGAATCATATCACAGATAAAAATATGCAAGTATGTGCTTATTTCTATACATATTTTAATTTATAATGTGGATATGCAGGATGCTATTGAATTAATGATACATCTAGAAAGGATACAAATTGAAAGATATATGAAAGATTCAAATCCAAATAAATCAACATAACTTAGCATTATTGTACATGTATTCGTATGTATAGTAAATAAGAAAGGGATAAGTTACGCAAGTCCTATTTAATAACATAGTACTTAGCAAAAATTAGAATGCAATTTTTTCTTAATATGGACTATGAAAATGTATTATTTTACAACTTTATTTCATTTTTTATTTTAAATAGAGCTAGTGTATTTATTCCTTATTTACTGTATCTACTTGAAATACAAATACATGTCTGATAATGCCAAGTTTTAATATTAGTTTATTTGGAAATCAGATTTCATATTAAAAAATGTCACTTTATATTTTTTATTTATTGTGCTATATAGATTCATTTTCTTTCAACTTGTATCACTAGTTTGGAAACACCCTATATATTTCATTTTGTTTTCCTTAAATACTTTAACTGAACTTAATAACAGAACCAATACAATTTTTAAAATATCCTTTATTTTATGTAAATATGTAATAGTATTGAAAATTATTTGATTGTAGGAAGCATCATTTGCTCAAGCAGCTAATAATTGGATTAGAGCAAAAACAGCGTATGAGAAAGCCTATGAAATAAACTCTGAATTGGTCAAAGAACATTGTCTTCAAGGCTTATTTGAATGTTTAAGTAATTTATGTTATTGGAATGAAGTTGATAAATATATACAAAGTAGATTAAATAAAAATATAGACAATATTTGGAATGATCCATGGAAACATTGGATGTTCCCATGGATTTTCGAAATTTATTTGCGAAAATTGACTGATGAAAATACCAATAATTCACTTCCTCAGGTTATAAAAATTATGGGCGCGTGGTTAGAAGACGATACAAAAGTAAAGTATATTAAACGATTCTTTGGCGGTGAATTATCGATGTTCTTTGTAGTAAAGGAGTCTCTAGAAAATGCTCATGATTTTATACTGAATACATTGGATGAGATAAGGGAACAATGGATCAAACTTCATCCACTTTCTACACAATTAAGAATACATAAACTACAAAAACTGCGAAATATCAATGATATAAATTGGTTTATAAAAATTTTGAAAACGGCAAAGAATCCAAATAATTTACAAGAAATTTTCAAATTCTGGAGCAATAGTTTACCATCTGTGCAAGATCCTATTGTCGCATGGGACAAATTAATATCTTGCAGAATGTGCTTTATCAACTGGCAGCTGAATGATTTATTGAAACCATGGAATGTAGATGAAACTCAACAAGATTCAGAAAATATATTAGATAGTGAAGAGAGTCGGATCACTGACCAATTGCGTACAATAACTTTCAATATGCAATTGAAAATGATTGAAGCAGCATTGAATCAAAAGAATAAATATATAGCAACAAAATACTTCTGTCAATTGGAACAGAATATGTCAAATTATTCTGACATGAAATATCAGTTTATTTTAAAGTTGTATGCTGCAAAATTAAAGTACTTAAATGGTAAGATTGAAACGGATATAGAAAAGAAGCTATCCAATTATTCTTCTTCCTGGGAATACTGTCACAATCTCCTTCAGGAAACTAATCTAGATCCCATAATAAATGTACATGTTCGACAACAATTGAGTAAAATAGCTTTACAAGTTGCAGAGTTCAGTCAAAAAGATCAAACATTTTCTCACTTGTTAATGAAGAATACTGTAATTTTGAAGGAAATTAACATAGGGAATAATGATATATTTGTCATTAGAGAATCATTGAAAACTTATAGTTTAGATCAATTAAAAATATGTTGTACTACACCAACTTCAATCATCAAAGATTGCTACTTCAATCTCTCAAAATACTGTTACGACAAATTATCATGTGGTACGAACGATATTCAAGCAAGTAAAGAATTTGTGCGGTCTACGTTAAAAGCAATGAGTTACGGGTCTCTTGATGCAGCACACTACTTCCCTTGTTTATTAAAAACTGAATATTTTGAAGAAGAAGAAACGAAGGATATTTTCTTAAAGGAGAGTGAGGGAGTCCAAACTTGGTTGTTTCTTTCTTGGCAGGCTCAACTCTTCTCACATCTAGGAACGTCCATTGCACCATTAGTCATACATATCCTCAAACGAATTGTCGAAACTTATCCTAATGCTGTAATCTATACATTTCGTTTAACAGTGGAAACTAACCCCGCTCTTTTGAATGAAACTAGAACTTATGAAATTCGGCAAATAGTCTACAAGAGACTTGATATTGATCAATTTCTATTAGCAATGCAGTATGTAGTTCAGCCAGAATTATACTTGCAATATTACTTAACTGAATTTTTAAAAAACTTATCCCTTGGCCCTTCTACTGCTATAAACATACTGTTGAAAAAAGTATATTTAAATTCATTGGAAAAAGAACATGGTATAAAACCAGGGATAGTATTCAATGAGATTAAAGACTATGAAAATAAAATAAAGAAATTAGAACAAAAAAAGCCTGATGAAATTAAACGGCAAGTGTATCGATGGATTGGAGACCTTACAGGATCTCTTGCTAGACGTAGAAATAAGTTACATCTGCAGGACTATAGTCCATGGTTATACAAATATTCAGGAAAGGATATAGAAATACCTGGACAATACATTGGTGACAGAAAGCCTATGCCACAATATCATGTTAAAATTATGAAGATAGAATCTTCAGTGAAAGTGATGCAATCACTGCGTAAACCTATTCAAATTATTATGGTTGGTAATGATGCAAAGGAGTATCCTTTCCTGGTAAAATTCGGTGAAGATTTAAGACAAGATCAAAGGTTGCAACAGCTATTCACTATTATGAATAAGACGTTACACAATGATACTGCTTGTAAGCAAAGACAATTGTCTATTGATACTTATCAGGTGAGTGAATAAATTTATAGCATAAATTTATTTTTGGTAATACTGCAGAATATGGAAGAGGAAACCAATTTTCATGAAATTGAAAAATGTTGTAGAAATACATATTTTAAATAACTTTTCCTTCTGACAAAAACTGCACTCTTTCAATGTGCACATTTACTACCACTACATTGAATTCTGTATACACGAGCAGGTTTGTGAGATGGCTGTTCCAATTCTACATTTGTCAATTTTATGAAAATCGGTTCTCCTTCCAAATTCTACAGTATTACAGTATTCTTTATTTTTATCAATATAAAATCGACATCAAAATGTAAGTACATCCTTTGTGATTTTGTAATGCCTATAATACAAATTTACATTGCATTTTTTTTTTAAGTAATAATGATATCTTTTTCTTATGCAGGTAATTCCTTTATCTAAAACAGTAGGACTAATACAGTGGATAAACAACACAAGATCTTTACAAGAGTTAATACACTTTACATTATCTAAAGAAGAAATAAAATGGTATGAATCAATATATGGGAATTATAAAGAATGGATTCAAAGTGCTGCACCTTCTAAAAAACAAGATGAAGGATATAAAGAGGCGATAGTGAAGTATAGCGCATCAAAAGTGATCACTAAAATGAATGAGTTCATAAGGAAGACCAACTGGGACAGTTTGCGTAAAACGTTTACGATTCTATGCCCTTCCGTAGAAAGTTTCATTGTAATGCGTCGAAATTTTAGTACGACGTATGCTACCATGTGTGTTGCTCATTGGATCTTGGGAATTGGCGATCGACATCTTGGAAATATTTTGATTAGTATTAAATCAGGACGTTGTTTAGGCATAGATTTTGGATTAGCCTTCGATGCTGGTGTTGATAAAAGAATTCCTGAATTGATGCCATTTCGTTTAACACATCAAATTCTTGGTTTGCTCAAACCTTTTACTGAAAAGGATCTTTTGCAGACAGTGATGATTTATACATTACGAGCGTTGAGAAACAAATCTGGTCCTATTTTATCTTGTATGGATGTATTTGTTCATGAACCGCTAAATTGGACTGAACATGTTAACAGAAAGCTACAAGAAAGTGAAGATGATACTGCAGACATTAAATGGTTGCCCGTTAAAAAGATTGAAGCTGTCACAAAAAAATTGAATGGAACCAAACCACACTTGATTATTCTAGAACAATTAAAAAAGCAGTACGATGATAAATACCTTAATAGGTATCGTAATATACTCAATGGGGAGGACGACATTAAACGATTTCGAAAAGAAATAAAAGATGATCATTTAACTCCCGAGGAACAGGTAAGATTTTATATAAAATTACTTTTATTATTGTTTATTCACAATATTAATGAATTTTTAGATTGAATGCTTGTTGGATCAAGCAACTGATTTGAATATTTTAGGCCGCACATATGTCGGATGGCAACCATGGCTTTAGGTTTTACACCATTATATTTATAATTAATTGTGAACTGTGAGAAGTCATAGAAGAGTAATATATTTTATACATGAATGAATTTTTTATCTTTCAGAATAAAATATTATTAGTATAATAGATTGCTTGACATTTATACTATTTGCATATCTATTTTAAATGTAAAATAGTTGAATTGTAAAATTTGATATTTATTTATTCATTTTATAATTTTGTATTTTGTACATTAACATTTTTTCTATTTATTAAGTAGTTTTACTAAATTCCTTATATCCAAATAATTCATCTTAATATAAACTAATAAAGAAATTACTTTTAATAAAACTAATAAAACTAATATGACATAAACATCTATTACAAAGTATTGGTAAAAGTTGGGGCTAAATTTTAGAAGCATGTAGTATCTGTGCGTCAAATTAAATGTGGAAGAATTAAAATATTACGTTGTAAGTTATTTTACAAAATTGTTTAATATAATTTTATCAACATTACTAATATTTTTAATATTAACTTACATTAATATTTTTAATTATTTAAAATGCTTGCAAAAATTTAATCTAGATATGATATTAACTGATCAAGTTTAATTGATTTAAATAAATAGCAAGTGTTGCAAACAGAAGATGAAGGTAAATACTTAACTATTATTATTATATTATTATTAATGCATTAAACCGATATTTTTAACTGATATAGTTTTATATTTAATAAATCTTATATTATATTTAATCGCTTTTAAATGTTTCAAATATTCCTTCTGTTACTTATCATTATATTATATACATACCCGAAAAAAGTAATGATTCCAATGCCTAAGTTAATAATAACTTATAAAAAATGAATAGTAAAGTTTCTTCACCTGAGTATGCTTCATTGCACATTTAAAATAAATAGCGAAGTAAGAATAAAAAGTTGATTTTAAGATTTATTTTTCACATTTTTTTCGCTTAACAGGTATATTAGGTTATTAGTCTTTTAGCATACAATAAATTATATTCACATTAAATTTTCACAGTCCTGAAAGACTAAATTGTCAGTCACACGTAATGTGAAAGAAATTGTCTTTATTTATATAAAATTATCCAAGAAAATGTCCACTTACTTGATGAATTCTTCTAGTAAGTCATGTACATAGTTTCTTCAATTATACAAAGTAAGTTTTTATATTTCACAAAACGTTTACAGTATTTGAAACGTATATTACAAATGAATCATCTGAACAGTACTCAACATTAGTGCAATTGATCTTGTAATTGCGCATATCGCGCTTGTAACACACGTTCCCGTTCTGTTTGTCTGTTAACGTCTTCCATGAGTGCATTTACTCGTCTTGGTACCGCTGCCTCTTCTTGCGTTTGCAAAAATTTAAATGTTGAAAGTTCTAAATGCGCTTGCTCTATTTGTTCCCATAAATCATGTAGCTGCTTTGTTAATACTTGTGCTCTAGTCTATAATTTAAAAAAACATATAAGTAAACAATTACACATAATTTTTTATATGCACTAAAAGTAGGTCGGAATACCTGATATCCTCCAGTAAGAACTTTCAATTTCTTTTCCATTCTAGCAGCACGCTTTGCTTCTCCAGTCATGTGCATTCGGTTTTCTTCCAATTTTCTTTCGCATGCTTCCACTCGGTCCTTTTTCGAAGCTAATGTTGCTCGTGTATAACGTTTTTGAGTTTCCAAATACAAAATCTGGGATAAACACTCTTCCCATACAGTCGTATAAGAATCTAAGCTAAGTTCTCCATGTGCCATGCCTTCCTTTACAACTGACATTTCATCAATCAAGAGTTTTTTGGCCTAAATTAAATATGTACACGATATAAATGCTACAAAGATAAAAAAGAATTATATAACTAAATAACTTACAGCAGTAAGGTCTGCTTCTTCGAAATTAACATATGGATGTTGTTCTAAATAAGCTTGAGCTACTGAACTAGAAGTGCCTTTACGATTTTGTTGTAGTGGGTTCTGTAGTGAATCATATTGCATCATTGTAATCATTTCTCTTTTAATCAATTCTTCAGCCTAAAATGAAATTCTTGTTAAAAAATATTATAAACATTAATACTAAGTATAAATAAATTATACGATCATACTCTTTGCAAGTCGGTTAATGAAGTATCCATAAACGGCCGCAAAATATTCATGTTCACATCAACTGGTCGTGGTAAATCTCGTTGTATAACTTGTGATCTACGAGATAATTCCCGCTTTCCTATAGAGTATTAGATTAAATAAAATATTTGTATCAAATACAAGAATGTATTCAAATTATTACGTACTCTGTTCCATTAATTCTTGCTGTTGTCTAGCGTCTATGTCAGCTTGATCTTCAACAATTTCAGTTGCAGGTGTAGAGGTACTTTCATCTTTTGCTTCCCCTTCAGGAACTACTATTTCATAATCATTACGTGGTGTTGGAAGAGAACTCAAACCAGCACGTAATTGTTCTTTAACTTGTTTCTGAATTAAAGGAGTTTCTGATCCGTCTATATTTTCATCTGGATTAATACTGAGTTTATCGCGAACAGGCGTAGCCGCCAAAACTCCGTTTTGTGTTCGTATAGATGTTGGTGTGTTAAAAGAATTTGCTGGAGTTCCATCGCTACGTTGTGAACGAAACGGTGTAGCTAAAATTGTGTTTGGAGTCGCTACAGCATTTGTAGAAGGAACAACACCAGTAAAATCTGAATTGTTTAGCGGAGTATTTAATCCACCTATGAATAACGAAATTAAAGCATTAATACCTCTAATATATTATCTCTATACAAAATCATATTTACCTTTCAATGGAGTATCAACATGAGTAAGAGCCATAACGTTTTGCGCTTCTTGAAGAATTCTATCTGTGGCGGCTGGAGTACGAGGAGTTACGGCTGCATTTGTTGGTAAAGAATAATCAGCCAGTAAACTATCTGATAATGTGATTCCACTCTCAGTTGCAACTTCACGAGCAACCTGTTATAGAAGATAAAATTTTAAATATATATTTCATGGTATATTCTATATATTCTATAAGATAGTATGCACATAGGAAAATGTACCTCCGATGCTCTTCCAAGCTTAACAACTTGTTGCAATTCTTGATCAGATATCTGTGGTTCTGGCAAAACTAACTTACTTCTTTTCTTTATTGGTTCTTCATTATTAAGCATTCCCATTGGAATATCATTTTCTTTGCGCTGTTTTAACTTTTGCTTATCTTTCCTACGTTCCATTTCTTCCTTCTCTTGCCTTAATTCTCCATCCAAATGTTGCTGTCTCATCCTAGAGAAGTCAATAGCAAGTGGATCTACATGCTCATTAGATGTATCATAAAATCCAGTTGCAGGTCGTTTCTCAAATGGAATTTCAGAATTATAATTAACTCCACGTTTTCGTTTGTTCTTTTGCGAGACAGTAATACCAGCAGCTCTCAATTCTCTACGTTTTTGTAAGGCAGCAAGTCTACGAGCTTCTTCCAATTGCTTCTCTCTGGCTTTACGTTTTGCCTTTTTGCCCTGAGTATTTGCAAGTCTAGCACGTGCCTCGGACAACATTTCCAATTCTGAAAATTACTACTTTTATTTGTCTTACACCCAAAAAGAAGTAGCAAGTTTTAAAATAGATTCTACCATCTTCATCCATATCTTTAGGATCAGGTCTAGCAGGTTTTGTTTCTGGATTTGGATCAATTTCTCCTGGCTTAAGTTTACGAGGATCATCTGCAGCATCATCTCCTTCCTCCTTCTTCTGAGCTTGATCACTAAAATACAAAATATTAAATCATATAACTCTGAATTATACACGTTTCATAAATATAAATTATAATTAACTTACAGTAGATATTCATAACGTTCTAAACACTGTGCTGCTGTACGTCCAATAATTGGTGCAATGGTTCTCCACTGTGTGGGCATTAATTTAGCAAGATGTAATAATTTTTCATCTTCTTCTCTACTCCATTCAGTTTTTTTGATACTTGGATCCAACCATTCGAACCAACGTGCTTTACATTGTTTAGCAGATTTTCTATGTAAGAGAGATGCTATTCGACTCCACTGATTTTTGCCATACTTCATAACAGCAGCTTTTAAAATTTCATCCTATAACACAATACATCAGGTAAAGAAAACATGTTTTGTAATTAAATTGTAAATTCCAGGTTAGAACTTGAGTCTTACTTCAGTGTTTCGCCAAACACCACCCTTTATCATAATACGCGGCATTTTCTATGTAATTTGTATTGTCATTCAATAAAATACAAAGAAATGCAAAAGTTCTGCTGATTGCGTCTATTTAGTTGACAATTAACAACAACTACATCAGATAGGGACCACAAGTTACCGATGGCAACGCTTAACCACAGACTCAAAATTTGTACAGATGTCTCATAAAACGCATTTTTTCTGTCTAGGATTCAAGGAGCCGTTGGGACCCTCATCCATTTTAGTGTCACGTTTAACGTTACCAATAACTTATAAATTTAGACTTGTTAGTAGGAATACAGTATCCTGTATACTTTATTCTTAATATGAATACATAATTATGACTTGGAGCAGGAGTGTGGAACTTTTTCCCCTCAAATTAGTAACTTTCGATCGGCGGTTCCACCACTATCTCTATCGTAGGAGCTACAGAGTCTCAAGAAGGTAACTTTCGTCAAGCAAATCATGATCCTAGGGAGCTCACGAGCTTTCAGCTCGATACCTCTGCAATATATAATATATCATTCCTATTAACAAACCTAAATTTGAGAATTCTTGGTAAATAACACCAAGGCTTACACCGAAATGATGCGAGTTCATAATGAACCACTGGACAAAAATTACTATGCTGTGAAAAGTCTGTAATGTCTCTTAAGTTTATGACTTAAGTGAAATGATTAAAATATGACTATAGAGACATCAATGAATAATGAGCATAAACAATATGATGTCAATATATAATTTTAAAATACTCTGAATTCAAATCTTTATTTAGATTATTTTTATTATACATATTTAAGAAATAGAAATAATATACATATTATATGTGTAAAAAACATTTTCAATTATTAACAAAATATGATTTATATATATTACTTTGAATCATATGAATAAATCTATACTTACATATTGCTCCTTTGTATCAATAACTACCAATTCATGCTCATTTCATAAATTGTTATATAAATTATTTATTTATATAATATTTAAATTTTATTCTTCCTTTAATTAAATGTTTAAAAACAATATATTTTTTATACATATAAATTTTAATTTCAATAAGAAAC